GGCTGCCGATTAAGCGTGGTTGACCGGACGCGATTCCAGAACATGTTCTGTGCAGGTTTGTGCTGTGTCTGTGCGTGCGTTTGACTCAAACTTGTTTAATTCGTGCTGAAACATGTGTAGAACATTGTAGACATCAGATTTACACCTCTGGAGATTATCAAACATGTTAAACATGATTAATCACATAATAAATCATATTTAAACCTTTAAACTTGCAAAAAATATCGATACGAAGAATAAATCATCAAAACTCAGATAAACAACATTGTTAAATACATTTTGAGCTTAAAATATCTCTATAATTCTGTTCTTAATCTTTTAAATATAAAAAGACCTAGTCTTTATACATATAATACAAATGATTTGATTTTCATACACAAATTAGTCAATTTAGCTCTATAAAAATCATTGGAAACTCATTTAAAATTCTTTAAAACAGGGGAGAGGGATTAGCAGAGATGAAACTCGCTTGAGACTTGATTTAAAACGTGAAAGATGAAGTTCCCAAGCATATCTCCAAGTCGCAAAATCAAAATAACCCGAAATCCCGCTCCGAAAGCCTTTAATCTTTCCCAAAAATCAAAATAAGGTTTGTAGGGGAATTTGGTGGCTACTAGGGTTTTTAGAATACTGAAAACTCATGAATATATGATATACATAGCAGAGAAAATGAATATGGGCTGTAAATGCCCGAAACCAAGTCAAAACAGGATAAAAAGTGTTTAGGTTTTGTGGTTGATCGTGGTGGTCGACCGGATTGTGGTCGACTGGCTGGAAATTTCTAGTTTCTCAAGATTTTAGCTTTGTGCATGTTTTCAACTCATTCTATTCTCATGTATGAACTTGTTTATACTCAAAATACTTGTTAATGTACTCATACACTGTTTAATGATATTTATCTCAATAAATATCTACTTATAATAATTAATCACATATTAATTCAATTTATTAATCGTTAACTCAATTTTTTTTGGGATTTACATTCATCCCCCCCCCCCTCCCTAAAAGAATTTCATCCTTGAAATTTTGTAATCGTATCTTAAGGATTAATAATACGAGAAAAGCACTAAGAGGGGATAATCCAGACAAGGAAACCCTCCCGTACACATCTCGTGTCATTAATCCCCAGACATAAAACATAAGCAAACATTTAAACTTAACAACCTAGAATGTGTGCACGCTCACTTAACCCCTAATTAGACAGAACTAGTATGTCGGGTAAAAAATCTAAACAAGGAACCCCCTATATATATACCATATGTTCTGAGTGATTAGGAGCTAAGTGTTAGTGCCTCATTCTAGCGTTAAATATAAATGTGTCACAAAAATATAATGTAATTACTAATGCATAAAAGCATACTTAATATCAATATTTTATATGCTCAAATAGATGTGAGTAGTCACGACTTATATCCTTTTTACACTTTTAATAATCTTCTTCGGCTCCTTGCCGATTCCGTTGAACTTTCACTAAAGAAATCACTTTGTTTCTAAGCCTTTTGTTTTCTCTAATAGCAATACAAATAGGTATCTCTATGGTAATCAAATCATCCTGAATCTTAATAGTTGGTGTATCAATCACACTCTCCTGCTTCTCATCATGCAAGTGCCTCTTGAGCATTAAAATATAAAATATATCGTGTATACTCAACGTCAATACTAGAAAATAAAATCTAAATGATGTAACTCCAACATGCTCAAAATTTTTGAACGAATTAACATATCTTGGGTACGTTTTGCCCCGCCTACTGAATCATTGAACGTCCTTTATCGGTGATACTTTTATTGTTATAAAATCTCCAATATAAAACTTTAGAGGTTGTCACCTCTGATCTGTATTACTCTTTTGCCGACTATGAGTGGCAATAATATGCTATTAATTAATATTACATTCCTCCTTAATGTGTTCTCATAACTTTTGGTCTAAGTAATAACTATTCTCCGACTCTGGCCGCTAATAAGCAGTCTACAAGGTCTCCCGTGCAGCGCCTCCTACGGTGCAATAGACATTCAATAATTGTTGTTATAAATAAATACCATCAAATGGTTTGTGGTCCTCTTAATTGTTCTGATAATCCATAACACATGCTCATAGTGTATCCTCCAAAAGTGTGAAGTAAGCATCAAGCCTTGGTATTATATAATCATCTTTGGAAGTTCATAAAATCTTACTATTTCCTGGACAAATATCTTTGCATACATCTCTGCTGTAAGAGTCATTTTCACAGCAAAATTTTGTCGACTACATCAACCAATCAATTATCATATAAAAGATTCATTTTCTTTCTTTGATCTCGACAACCCTATAATGAAATCCATAGAAATATCTACCCACTTCCACTCTAGAATGGGTAAAGAATATAGGGTTCCGATGGTCTCTGATGTTCTGCCTTCGCTTATTAGCAGGTAAAATATTTAACTACATATTTCAAAATCTCCTTGCGCATGTTACTCCGTCAACATGTCCCTTTAATTCTTTGTACATTTCCTATGTGTCTAGATGTACTGTATACTTAGTACAATATGCCTCATCAAATAAATCCTTCTTAAGTTGTGTATATCCCGGCATCACTAGCCTACCCTTAATTCAGAAACCCCCGTCGGTTTCGATGGTTCATTCTGCTTTAGTCTCTGTAGAAGCTTCCTTCTTTCGGATTTTTAATCTAAGAATCTCCTAACTGGGTACTGGTCTTTCCATAACTCCAAGATGACTTCACTGATAAAGCTCCTAAGAAAATGTTGTTTCCGCTAATCTCCTGTCTAAAGCTAATCTGGCTGAGAGTGTAAAGTTCTCGATGCAATAAACATTTAATACTTCAAAACTGTATATTCACATCAACGCTTTATACTCAACGCGTCTGCAACAACGCTCATCTTTTCTTAAGGATACTAAATTGCAAACTCAAAATCTTTAATAAACTCGACTCTTTGCCACTACCTCTAGTTAAATTTCTTCTGGGGAGAAGGTACTTCCAAGCTCTGATAATCCATATATAGTTTCCTTTGTACTCCAT